GTTGTAAAAAAAAAAAAATGATTTCAAGCCCTACAAAAAGTGCATATTGTGACAAATATCTAGACTGTCCATTTCGTGTTAAAAATAAGTGTTCACGGATCGGCAAGATCTGTACCATTTTTTGTGCTTCAAATTTCATAGTCAGTTTTGAAAATTGATTTGAACCATAATGGAGATTTCCGATGCCCAAAGCGCTTGCCGGATGAGGATTCAAAGTGAGGCTTTACTTTATTTTTATAAAACCTAGGCCTTATAGATACGGCATCCTTTTTAATATCGTCTTGTTTTATCTCCACATGTATAAAATATAGATACACAAAATTGCTATGAATACAGCATCAAGTATGTTACAAAATTCTGAAGATCAGCTCGTTAAGGCTGAAGTTTTAGTGAAATGGTCCAGCCTATTAACACCATCTTGAGCTAGAGAATCAACCAGCTGCTGCGAAGTGTGCAGAGACTATATCATGATCATACATCTCACAATAATTTCTTCAAAAGTGAACTCCTATCACCAAGGGTAATTGTTTTCTCCTTTAGCCCAAGAAATGACATTCCTTGAGTCTCCTTCTATTACTATGGATGTTTACTCTTTTGTCATTAGTCTTTTGACTGTGAGAACGCCCATGCTTCCACTTCATTGGAGTCAAATACACCTAGTCCAAGTATGTTGAAATCAGATTGCACTTGCATGGCTGAAAAACTCCTCCCACCCTCAGGTCTTGGATTGCACTCCAGACCTGCAGGTTGTTAGTGTTGTTGTATTATACATTATATATCGTTAAATGCTCTAAGAAATTACCCATATTCCATTATGAAAGATATCCTCAAAACAAATTTAGAAAAAAATTAATTTTTTCTTGTAATATTTGATCTTTTCTATATTCTTCTATATTCATGTAGTCATTCTTTCTATTTTTTATTTTTATGGACTTTTTGTCTTTTGATGATGTATGTGATCATTATTTTTTTCATTTTCTTGTTTATGCACACAAACAAACACATATCCCAAGTTGCTAATTCTAATTTCTCAAAGCTGGGCACTCATTTTTCATTTCTATTTATTAGAAACGTCATTCATAATTGATGCAGGAAAAGAGAAAAAGAGGTAAAAACAATTCATTAAACCATCAAAACATACCAGATTTGAGTGGATCTGGCTTTCCTTGCACCAAAAAGTTATCCCATAATCCTATATAGGGGTTGCTCGTACTATTCACAATCTGTTTTTATTGTTCACACCCCAAAAGTGTTAGAGATCCAAACACCCTAGGTCCTTTTATTACATTATTACAAAAAGATCAAAACTACCTCCCGCTTATGTTAAAAACATTATAAAAATGCCCCATAAGTCCCTTTACTTAAAATAAAATTTGTAGTGACGCTCTTACCCCGAATAAAATAAATAATTCCATAACTATTCTAACCACTTTTCTGAACATCTCCTAAAATCTTAAAAAATATAAAAAATCCTAGAATTCCTAAAAGAACTTAAAAACCTGCCAAATAACCCTAGAAAATTCCAAAATACATATGTAAAATTTACTAAGAAAAATTAAAAAATGAGACACATTTTGTCTTACATCATTCTCCCTTGGTTGGAGAAAACTCTTCCTAGAGTTTTGAAATAAGATTTTGCGTTAGTCATGCAACCTCTTCAACCCGAATGCTGAAAACATGATATTGGGACTTGTGAGTTGGATTAATCAAAGCACAACAATTGTATGTTGAAACTGAGTCTTTGCAATAAGTTGATATATCCATTAACACTTTTGAGAACCCCTCGAAGAAAATATTGTTATACGTTGATGGAACAACCGTGACATGAACCAGCTGAAATTTCATAAATACAACTGTTAAACCTTTCTCAATTGCCTTGGTTCCGCCCTAGAACAGACCAAGGGAGCATCTTCGAGATGATCATCTCCAACCACTAGTTCACTAACCAAATCAACAACTTCCTCTTCCAAAATTTCATCATCTTCCTCTTGACCATTGTCACCTTCCTTATTTCACCTGGTTCTTGTTTAAAAATTGGATTACTACCTTCGTCATCTGAACACTCATCAAATACTAGTGGAGAATCCCAATCAATGCCTTGCTGATTTTGGAAGTAAATTGATGAGAAATTCTTCAGGTTTAACCAGTTTTCCTTGTCTACTACTCGAGCTGTAATCATGCTGCGCCATATCACTAATGCCTCCCCATGATCACTATAGGTCACTTTTGGGTTCTCTTCATCAACTGGCTCATCGTATATGAGATCACCTTCAAAAGAATGCTTGTTGTCTTTATCATAAAAACTTCTTAGAAAGGTTAATTAACTTATGCCCAATCCCCGAACACTCATAGCACTTGATGTTGCTACCGGCACCCCTTTCAGGTCGTCCGACTTCTGAAACAACCCCTTTTTGGTCCAGGGCACCTGGCTGGTTGGCTGTTTTAGTAGTATGAGATGTCGAACCAGCATCGGTCATGCTGCCTTTTTTTCTAAAATCACCACCAGGGACTGCTGTCGTATTTCCCCATCACTCACACTTGCCCCCCACCTGTTTGAGGGTCGTTTTGCTGAGTTGTGACACACTTTGCAAGGTTATAGGCCTCATCACCGCTGCAAAACTACCACATCTTGAATTGATTGGTGCAGTCCATTCACATACTTGGCAATGGACTGCTCCTCTCGCTTGAGCACATCACTACGGGCAGTCAAAGGTTGAAACTCATCTGTGTATCTATCTCCTTGGGGCAACACATGTATCTTTGGAGATAAGGACTGTAAATAATTCTCAAGTAGGTACTTTTTCTTTAATTTCTTTTTCATGTCCTCCCAATATTAATTTTGGGTTTTCCCATTCCCTGTTCTCAGCTGTTCCCACCATACTGATTACTGAAGCACCTTTTCTTCAATCTAATAGCAAGAAATTTAACCTTTTTATTCTCTAGCAGATCCTTGGAATGAAATATCCTCTCTACCATGGCTAACCACTTTATAAAGTCATTGGGCTGCTACTTTTCTTCAAAAGCAGGAATATCTACTTTTGGATTTATGGAATTTGAGTGCCACCCGTACCTTTGCTCATATTCCTCTTCACTCGACTCATCCCACGGAGCACGATAGCGAAAAGGGTTGTGCTCAATAACATGTTGGACAGACAAAACTTTATTTTATCCACAATCGATGCCTGTAAGCCGCCTTGTGAGTTCCAAAACTTGTTGTCTCAGATACTCTATCTCCTGATACCTCTCATCATGAGGTGTATCCATATGAATGCCCTTGCCTCAACCTCTTCTTGTTGCCATAAGTTCACCGAAATCACAAGCCTTAGGCAGAGAACAAACAAAACCTAGCTGAAACTAGCAAGTTCTAGTCTGATTTGGCTTAAAATCTGAAAAAGCTAGACTTTTTGTAGATTCCTAGTTATGCTGTTGGGGAAAGCCTACGCTCTGATACCAATTTGATGCAGGAAAATAGAGAAAGGAAACAAAAACAGTTTATCAAATCATCAAAACATGTCATATTTGAGTGGATATGGCTTTCATTGCACAAAAACGTGACCCCAAACCCTAGATAGGACTTGTTCATGCCCCAAAGGTGTTAGAATCGCTAACACCGTAGGTCTTTTAGTCTTTTTATTACATTATGATAAAAAAGATCAAAACTACCCCCACTTAAGTTAAAATAAAATTTGTAGTGGCACTTTTACACCTAATAAAGCATGTAACTCCATAACTATTCTAACTACTTTTCTTAACATATCTTAAAATCCTAAAGAATATAAAAAATCCCAGAATTCTTTAAAGAACATCATCGTCATCATAGCCTTTTTCAATTAATTGAGGTCGGCTACACGAATTTTGGTTCGCCATTCTGCTCTATTAAAGGCCATATCTTTAGTGAGACCATAAGTCCCCATATATTTTCGAACTATTTCTAACCACTTCTTTTTGGGCCTACCCCTTCCCCTTTTAAGTCCTTCTACTTGAATTAATTCGCACCTCCAAACAGGTGTTGTACTTGGTCGCCGCCACACATGGCCATCCCACCTAAGTCTACTCTCTCTCATCTTATTGCCTATTGGTGCCACACCTAAATTCTCCTGAATGAATTCATTTCGAATTCTATCGCTTCTTGTCTTGCCACTCATTCATCTCAACATCCTCATCTCCGCTACACTCATTCTATGGGTATATTATTTTTTTTCCACCCAACATTCAGCCCCATTGAGCAAAGCTGGTCTCACAGCTGTCCTATAGAACTTGCCTTTAGCTTCATTGGTATGAGGCGATCACATAAAATTCCAGTTGCGTATCTCCACTTTGCCCACCCAACTCTAATTTTGTGTGTGACATCTTCCTATATCTCTCAATTTTTTTAGATTATCGACCCAAGATATTGAAAGTGCGGTATTTTTTGTACTTCTCGACCATCAATCTTAACTACTTCCTCGTCTCTACTCCTATTGTTACTAAATTTGCATTTCATATACTTTGTATTTGTTCGGCAAATTTTAAAACCTTTGGATTCTAAAGCATCCCTCCAAAGTTTTAACTTTGTGATGATGCCCGTTTCGGGTCTCATCGATCAAAACTATGTCATCTGCGAACAATATGCACCACGATACCTCATCCTGTAGGTCCTTAGTTAAGTCGTCCATATCTAAGACAAAGAGGTACGGGCTCAATGCTGACCCTTGCTGTAGACTTATTGTCATTGAAAACTCATTTGTCTTTCCACTAGTTGTTCGTACACTAGTTAGCGCTACATCATACATATCTCTCTTCAAGTCGATGTAGTGAACTTAAAACCCCTAAAAAAACCACTGTAAATTTCCAATAATATGTCCTTAAAATTTATTAAGAAAAATTAAAAAATAAGACACATCTTGTCTTGCTTCAAAAATGATTTGAGTTTGCATTGACTTCTTTGGAAGTCGATGCATTTCAATAGTTTGTTCTATTATATTCTACAATTGACATTAGTATCTTTTCATACTTCGCAGCCATCTTCGTTAAAGAGCAACGATCATCATCAGTAAGTACACGCTGTATTTGGCATTTGTTTTATGGGTTTGTAAATAAGATAATCTTTATGCGCCTAGTCAATCTTTTGTACTGATTAGCTATTTGATGTGGAGGCATCTGCTTGATAATCAGGTGGCAGATCCACTTTACTCTCTTCAAGGACATCAAGGCCCAGCTTATGATGTCAAATTTTATGGTGATGGAGAAAATGCTTTGTTATTAAGGTTTGTTTGAAGATCTTATGTGATTTGCTATTGAAATTCATATGTAATATCTTTGCGTGTCATATCCATTTTTTGTGCATGTATGTGCTCGTACATATGTACATACATGTGTATGTATGCATGTATGTGTGTCAAAGTTACCGGGAATGGGAGCATCAAGAGCTCCTGTATCGGGAGTGGCAGAACGGAGCGAGGTAGGCTCAAAGATCTATGATTGGGGGAACGAGGTCTATACATGGTCAGGTAAAGGGATCGAGATCTTGACTTTTAGGGAGTGTGTTCTATATATGCACAATGAATTCTTAACTAAATTCGGGGATCGCTTTCCTCCATGATGAGGATCGAGGTTCCTGAAGATCACTTATCAACTATATTATATAATTTGGGAGCGAAGGCCATTGAAGAGTATGTTTAACCTTTTCCAAATACACAAACCCAATATCAATGTAAACACAGTTCATGTCATTGAAATTCTCTTTAACATTTTGTTGTCATTGGAGTATGATCGCATAGTGATAATAGAAATCCAATACGGTAATGTAATACCTAAATCCTCGATCCCAATTCCCATGTTAACAATGGGAATGGAGGGTGATAAAAACAGTTACTTAAGAAAGAATCACCATGAAAAATTAATCTTGTGGGTCCATTACAAAGATAACACACCTACCTACATTGGTCTGCCTACAACTCACATGTTTTCATTTTTGGCACCAATTAGTTGGATTGGGTGACTCCCACTCGAATATCAATTGATGATTAATATAATAATGTTCCGATAGATTGTTTCCAAAAAAGAAATGTCATGATAGTCAAGCTCTCCTTCGCATAGTAAGAAAAAGGAAGGACATTGCCATATATAATTCCCAACAGCTCTCTTCTGTCAAAGATTGGTAGGGCCTAAAAAACAAGTGTGTGTGCGTGCGTGTGTGTGTGTGTGTTCCATCACCCATAAGGCAATCCCATAAGTGTGTGTGTGTGTTCCATCACCCATAAGGCAAATCCCATAAGTTTGATTTGGTTAACCCACACTGAAGCGATAGAAGTCCTTCAGGAGGTCCCATTAAACTAGCTCCAAGGAAGTTAAGCATATTGACATTCCTCGATAGAACCATAACGCTACTAACTTTTGTATCTCCTTCCAACTTCTTGCTTCTCTCTCTTTTTCTTCTCTTTTGTTGCCTTTCTTTGAAACTAGACATCAATCACGCTTCACAAGGTGTGTAAAGTTGTGAATTATAAAATTTGTAGGATATGACATATAGAAAGCTTGTAAGTTATTAAAAATTTGAGGTCCATACTCCATTGTATGTAAACCAAAGAATGTATTGGTGAAATTCGCTCCCAAAGAAGAGCATACTTGATTCCAAGTTCATAGAATTGCGGTTCCGGTTACTCATTGGACCATGATTTTTGACACAGGGAACTGAATCCCTTTAGCTGGGATCGAGTTCACTGATTTCCTGAATTGAGATCCGAAATGTTAAGGAATCACCTGGAATCGAGATCCCATGTCTTGGAGTGGGGGATAGAGCTTCCAAAGCGGAAGTGACTCCCTCCTTAGAACATCCCAGTAACTGTTTTGTGTGTGTGTGTAGTGGGGGGGGGGAGGGGGGGGAGGGGGATAATTTGATCTACACCCTAGGCTGGATCACTACAGTGGGTTCACTTTTTGTTTTTTTACATGGTGAATTATGATCATCCATTTCATGGGTCGCTAGATCTAGGCCTTTAAGAACTCAAGCATTTGTTCACTTGTTGATGTTATCTACAAAATTTGGGGTCAATCAAACTCCTAAAGGACTAGATCTAAGCATTCATCAAAATGGCGTGGGGCACTGTAGTAGTCCTCCTTAGGGTGGAGAAAATCATTTTCTATACACACACGTATGTTTATGTGTGTATGCAAGTATGTAAATATGGAACAAACACTCGTGTGTCTGTGAGAAATAGCTGATATTGTTGGGATTATCTTATAATTTGGCTTGAAACATTGTACATTAGATGCTATACATGGCTGGTTTATGATGTTGATCTTTAAGGATATTAGTTTATTCAATGACTGGCATGTTTGCATTGCTTAGTTGTGGTGATGATGGACGTATTCTAGCTTGGAGTTGGAAGGAAATTCTGAACTCAGTCATGCCTTCGGATGGGAAAGGTAGCCTAAATTTTTCAAGTAATTCGTTTCCTTATTTTAACCAGTATTATTTAGTAGTTCTTCACCATTATTTAGTGGTTTCTTGCTCTTTGCATTGCCATTCTTTTATGTTCCTCTCCCTGTACATGTGCATATTATGCTTCTTCATGGAAATGTAATATATGAGTTGGTATATCTCAATAGATCATTTTACTTCTTAAGTCACTTATTCTTTTTTGTGAATAATTTACAATCATTAAACAAATATATCCCAATGCTCCAAAATTATTCTAGGGAATATCTTCTTTGGTGCCTATAAGGAAGCACTGCATTAGGTCAGCACTAAGGTCTACCACCAACTTTGGCATTTTTTTTTCCTTCTGTGATTCATGTTGATTTTGTTCATTCCAAGTAATTCCTCAAGTAAGGAATGAGTCTTTCTATTCCATTCTCAAAAACTTAATATGATATTGATATAGGGAACAAGGGTATTGTGACTTGGTCGAGTCGACTCGGATTCGGCCTCACCCTATGGGCGAGATGAGTTTCGCCTGAGTCTACTATACACCCTTGCTTGTACAGTTTATATATATATATATATATATATATATATATATATATATATTACTATTTTATTTACTTGTACTTAACTTACTTACTCTGTCGTTAGTACGTCTTCTCTAGTATTCTACTTTCTACTACTACTCTCTACTACCGTACGTACTACTAACTATAGTAGTTA